TTGGTTATTTTGGATCAATTTGCTCTTGTATGGTAGGAAAGGACTTGAGATTTTTCCTATTAATAATGTTGAATTGGCCGTAGTAGATGCTTAGATTTTATATAATAAATTTCACGTATTTAATAAGTAAAAAAATTATTATTTGAGATGATTCCTTAATTTACAAACAACATCCGCGATGTAACGAATAGTAAACTACATATCTATCAAAGAAACTAAAATTCACGTAGAAAAACAGTATTTTGAGCCATACATTCATCATAATTTGTATGACAGTATCTTTAGATTGAATTATTTACAGATAAATTATTTAAGTTTCCCATAAAAAATTCTTATTTTTACAATTTAAGAAAATTAATTCGCCATATTTTCTAATTTCTAAAGCTTCCAAATCTAAAGACATTTATTAAAATGCCAGGAAAACCCTGCGTGACCAGCTTTGGTCAGGAGCGAACCCACGACCAGTAATAAGTGGTTTTATTCACTCATTATTGGTATAACACATCCTTATGCAGAACTTTCGTTCAATTAGATTGTTGCATCTTGAAGGAACCGGGTTCGAATCCGATCCAGGCGAGTTTACGTAAGAGTTTATCGGGTCATCGTTCTCATCCTTCATTCAGCGATTCACGAAACTATTCTTGTAAAATTTTATTTTTAGAAAAGTCGAGATAGGGTTATTACTATATAATCGAGGTACTACCATAACTAGATAACTCGCAGAGTAAAGAAGTACTTCCGTTCTGAATGACATCTGATAATGTAATTGGATCTCAATGATTCCGCGTAACGTCAAGTTGAATTCCTTTTATATTAAATTAAAACTAAAAATTGTTGTTCGTGAAAATCGTCACGTAACGTAACTTCTACTATTGCATCGTGCGACTTTTGTAAAAGTAGACTTTGAGCTTACAACAATGCAATTATATAAGTGGCACTATTTTTGGAAATTATTTTTGGCATTTACGTATAGATTTATTTTTAAAACATTATCTTTCGGATTAATAAAAGACTACAAATTATATAACATCGTCGCAAAGTCTTATAATTAGATTATTAGCTTTGAGTGAATGGAATTTATGCATATTTATTAAATAATACACATAAATTTTATTTATATAAGCTAAAATTAGGATGTCTGTTTAAAAGGTAGGCAATTTTATGAAGATTTAGATCTCATAGATTATCTTTCGGATTAATAAAAGACTACAAATTATATAACATCGTCGCAAAGTCTTATAATTAGATTATTAGCTTTGAGTGAATGGAATTTATGCATATTTATTAAATAATACACATAAATTTTATTTATATAAGCTAAAATTAGGATGTCTGTTTAAAAGGTAGGCAATTTTATGAAGATTTAGATCTCATAGATTAATTATTTAAAAAAGGTCCAGCAACGAGTTGCGTAACTTTCCCGGCAATAAAGTTAAAATTGTGCGTGGAACTCTGTTACGAGATTTTATTTTTTTTTAAAAACTTATATTATTAATTATTGTAAATGGTAAAAAGTTTAATTTTGAGGGCAGAGATGATTTTTATAAACATTTGTAAATGCTAATAACTAGTAAAATCTTCATTAAGTCCGATCTCACTCAAAATGCGAAACACGACCCCTTTTATCTCGCCACTCCCTTTATCTTTAACCACCAAAATTTAATAGCATCAATCCCCTAATACACAAACCTCCTTATAAAATTTCAGAAATTTTCTTCAAAAAGCACGGGAGTTATTAAACTTCAAAGACGGTGAACAAAATCGTGCCCCCCCACACATACACACACTAACATTCATACATACAGAAATTACCTCCCCTCGATTTTTTGCATTTCAAGGTCGCCTGAGTCCAAAAATTTTTAAATCTTGGGAGGGAGGTCACTCTTGACCGACCCCCATACTTTTCCTCTGTTATATGTAACAGCCAGGGAAAGTAAAAATTAAAACGAATACTTAAAGAATATTTATGATAGAAGGTTAAATACAGATAAGTAAATCAATATGTATATAAGACTATTAGGTTTATCTACAAAAGTAATTTTACGGACACATCTATTCCTGATGCTTCATTATACATCAATACGACACGTTGGTGATCTGCCGAGGGAATGACCCTCAGGATGACTTTCTATAGAAAACTGGCCCATATTTAGGTGTTACAAACGTGAAGAAAGCCCGGAAAACATTCGTGGCCAGCGAATTGGCCAGGTGTGCCCACTGCCAACAATCAGTGTTAAGTGGTTTTATCCAGTCGGCCACCGGTTGGCACAAAAGTCAATAAATTAAAATCAGATCTTTGAAAAATAACACATATATTCACATATATAATTTGATTTGTACATATGATTATCTATAAAAACACATTCAAGTAGAATTATCAAACGTGAATATTTTAATTGATTTCAATATTTAAATTTAGAAATTTTGTATCGAATTTTTTTCATGTTACCGTTTTTACAACAAAGAAAATTTATCTGAAATCGCCCATTTTGATTTTCAGGTCGAGTTTCCGGAGAAAAAGTTTGGGTAGGTATTTGCAATTTTGTTAAAGAATGGTCGTCACTGACAGCAAAGCAGAAAAAAGGTTTCCGCAGACTTTACCAACAAGCATGCCATTGTAAAGTAAGTATTACATTTACATAACACAACTGAAATCTTTAATTTTCATGATAAAAAAAACGGTATATTAATTACTATTATTATTTACTTTCAGATAACGAAGAATTATATACACAACAATAACACCACAGTCAGGCCACAGTGTTATTGGGAAACTTGGAAAAGCGTAAAATATGACTGTCAAAATTTATATTCTATCTGCGCACCTTCCTCTCATCACATGAAAGAATGTGTTTGGTTGAAAAGCAGAGCCTATCGTCACTGTATGAAAGAAAAAAGAGATTTTCTCTACAGAGAACCTTAAATTTATCTTAACAGATTCATCGTCGATACTCTTTCGGAGGTATCATAATGAGCTTTGCCACTAGGTGGCAGAATTATGCTCGAGTCTCAGTAGTAGGACGAAACTCTCTCTCTCGAAGTTTATCATTTAAAATATTTTAAGAGTACAATTTTATGACATCGTAGATTAGGAGAGTGAAAACACGATTTTTAAATGTAGATCGGCCAAAAAAAAATATAAATTTATCCATCAGAATTTACATTAAAATATATATTATGTTTTTCAAATTTCTGCTGATAAAGTAGGCATTATGTATTTTATGACACGTTCTGATAAATTATGTCTGCGGTGATTAATTGCCAATATTTTTAAATGTCAATTTTGATATAAATGCACCCTGGTTCATCGCGTTCTTTTGTAAATTAGAAATATGTTTAAATGTATGTATTCATTGTAGTATTTAAATTGTGTTTGTGAAGAACCTGTATACTGGTCTCCAACGCGTATAGTTTTGTAATTAGGTCTACACTAGTATTCAAGTGTAGTTGATGGACCAATAAAAACGTACAAATGTAATTTATATAAATTTTTTATCGAAAAAATTATTGCCTTCAAATATAATTTATCAATACCAAATACAGTAAGTTATTCAGTACTTAATTGTTTCATTTATTCTACATGTAATGTAATCTTTGAAAGTCAATTTATAATATACAGAATAGTCACAAAGTCTCGGCACGCTAATTAAAATTTATATATTCAGTTACATTTTATGCGCAGATTTTAATTTCTCTTGTGTTTTTCTGGATGTTATCTTCCGCGTTTACGATTGAAAGTCATTAAACTAATCCCTGAAATAAAGGTCTTCAATTGTGGTAAGGTGGAGTTGACATTTTCTCGTTCACAACGCCCTAAGGCGAATGATTACATATTGCCGAGTCTAGACTTCGAGGAGGCCACACCATGCTTATTCATTGGCGTCTATCCTGAAGTCAAAGCTCGAGGGCACAATTTCATACTTTGGGTCTTTGTGTGTGGCTCTCCGTAGTGATAACGTTGTGCGTTTATATATTTTTAATTGAAAATATTGATAAATATTTTTAAAAGATATTTTTATTGATTTTTCTTTTATCGTTATAGGCCTACTGCTTATTGGCTTTTTAATAAAACATTGTCAAGAAAACAAATTGTTTACATATTACAGTATATTCAAAGATTTGGCACGCTATTATTTCGTACAGATGGCCGGATGGCCGAGCAGTTAGTGGCAGCCTACCGTTTTGAGGGATTCGAGATACAATCTGGACCACCCTAAATAATTTCTAAGGTGATTCGGCCTAGGCCGAATCACCTTAGAAATTATTTAGGGTGGTCCAGATTGTATCTCGAATCCCTCAAAACGGTAGGCTGCCACTAACTGCTCGGCCATCCGGCCATCTGTACGAAATAATAGCGTGCCAAATCTTTGAATATACTGTAATATGTAAACAATTTGTTTTCTTGACAATGTTTTATTAAAAAGCCAATAAGCAGTAGGCCTATAACGATAAAAGAAAAATCAATAAAAATATCTTTTAAAAATATTTATCAATATTTTCAATTAAAAATATATAAACGCACAACGTTATCACTACGGAGAGCCACACACAAAGACCCAAAGTATGAAATTGTGCCCTCGAGCTTTGACTTCAGGATAGACGCCAATGAATAAGCATGGTGTGGCCTCCTCGAAGTCTAGACTCGGCAATATGTAATCATTCGCCTTAGGGCGTTGTGAACGAGAAAATGTCAACTCCACCTTACCACAGTTGAAGACCTTTATTTCAGGGATTAGTTTAATGACTTTCAATCGTAAACGCGGAAGATAACATCCAGAAAAACACAAGAGAAATTAAAATCTGCGCATAAAATGTAACTGAATATATAAATTTTAATTAGCGTGCCGAGACTTTGTGACTATTCTGTATATTATAAATTGACTTTCAAAGATTACATTACATGTAGAATAAATGAAACAATTAAGTACTGAATAACTTACTGTATTTGGTATTGATAAATTATATTTGAAGGCAATAATTTTTTCGATAAAAAATTTATATAAATTACATTTGTACGTTTTTATTGGTCCATCAACTACACTTGAATACTAGTGTAGACCTAATTACAAAACTATACGCGTTGGAGACCAGTATACAGGTTCTTCACAAACACAATTTAAATACTACAATGAATACATACATTTAAACATATTTCTAATTTACAAAAGAACGCGATGAACCAGGGTGCATTTATATCAAAATTGACATTTAAAAATATTGGCAATTAATCACCGCAGACATAATTTATCAGAACGTGTCATAAAATACATAATGCCTACTTTATCAGCAGAAATTTGAAAAACATAATATATATTTTAATGTAAATTCTGATGGATAAATTTATATTTTTTTTGGCCGATCTACATTTAAAAATCGTGTTTTCACTCTCCTAATCTACGATGTCATAAAATTGTACTCTTAAAATATTTTAAATGATAAACTTCGAGAGAGAGAGTTTCGTCCTACTACTGAGACTCGAGCATAATTCTGCCACCTAGTGGCAAAGCTCATTATGATACCTCCGAAAGAGTATCGACGATGAATCTGTTAAGATAAATTTAAGGTTCTCTGTAGAGAAAATCTCTTTTTTCTTTCATACAGTGACGATAGGCTCTGCTTTTCAACCAAACACATTCTTTCATGTGATGAGAGGAAGGTGCGCAGATAGAATATAAATTTTGACAGTCATATTTTACGCTTTTCCAAGTTTCCCAATAACACTGTGGCCTGACTGTGGTGTTATTGTTGTGTATATAATTCTTCGTTATCTGAAAGTAAATAATAATAGTAATTAATATACCGTTTTTTTTTTATCATGAAAATTAAAGATTTCAGTTGTGTTATGTAAATGTAATACTTACTTTACAATGGCATGCTTGTTGGTAAAGTCTGCGGAAACCTTTTTTCTGCTTTGCTGTCAGTGACGACCATTCTTTAACAAAATTGCAAATACCTACCCAAACTTTTTCTCCGGAAACTCGACCTGAAAATCAAAATGGGCGATTTCAGATAAATTTTCTTTGTTGTAAAAACGGTAACATGAAAAAAATTCGATACAAAATTCCTAAATTTAAANCTAAACGAAACTATTACTGTTAAAAACTTAAGAGCAAAACAACATTAAAATAAAATTAATTGCATAAATCCTAACATCCCATTCTCCTTTGTCCACAAATTGAAAAGCTTGCACTTAAGCGTCTGTTAAAAATTTCGCTTTTATTCAAATTAGCCAAAAATGGATATACAGTAACTTATTTTGTATGCCGGCTCTTCAATTAACTTATAAAGAAGTGAAGAACGTAAAGTTTATATACATTGCATTACTTGTCAGCTTAAAGTGCAGTATAACTTTAAAGCAATGGCTCACAAACATCTTTTGGCCGCGTATCCTTTCAGTGTTTGATGTGATGAACGTAATGTTTTGATATTAGGTTTGATTTGACGAGCGAGACAATTTCAATCGTATGTCAGTCTCAACTTTAAGCATATGTCTCTGTTTGGATCTTAAATAAAAGCTACCAATGCAGAAAAGCCTGGCTCGCAAAGGTAGGAAGTTACAAAATGCGTCAGAACTTTCACAGAAAACTTAGCCAATTCAGGATATTCCTTCAGTAACTCAGTCCAAAATTGCAACAGACTTTCTCGGTAAAATGACTTTTTGACATTACTGTGTGATGAAATATCAAGCAGTTGTTCCTGCTGGATAATTGGCAGTCCCGGAACAAAATGAAATTGATTCCGTGCCCATCAGTGAGGATCAAAGAATAATTCAAGGAATTAGTGGGGAAAATGCAGTTGCTAGTCGAACATTCCCAAGAACTGTGTTACATCAGCTTTCACATTTGAGCAGTGGCATAGCGAACATAACTGGCGCCCTGGGCACGACGCTTTATTGGCGCCTCCCTCCCCCTCCAGAAACACATAGTTTATCTTAGAGACCATTTGTGCGCCCCTCTGCGAGTGGCGCCCGGTGCATGATACAATCCCTTGCACAACCCTGGCTACGCCACTGCATTTGAGTCAATAGTGACACAAGCTGAACAATGATGAGAAGCACTAATTATTCTACTTTCAATGAGTAATTCGCCTAGAAATTCAATTTTTTTTTATCATAGATTTAATTTTTGTTATGTGTGTTGAATACAGTAGTAGAACTACCTCGAAAGTCTAAATTTAATTCATTAAGGCGAGAAAAAATATCTGCCAAATAGGCAACCCTTTGGATCCAAATTGAGTCTAGAAGACAATTGCCCAACCCAAAAGGATGCTCTCAAAAACAAAACAAGTTCATCAAGTAACTGCAACATATATATCAATATTTTACCAGAATCAGCAGTCTTCTGTGTGCAACAGCAGCGTTACATGCTCTCTATCCATTTCGTTGCAGGATTTTCACCTATTTCTATACGTTTCGGGATAATATTAACTGTATATAAAATGGTATATAACGGAGAATTTGCAAAATAACTAGTATGAAGTAATTTTTTACCCTTTTCGCCCTGAAAGCACGAGAGGACATTCTTAGCAAGCGCATTGTAGGCTCGGTCAGACTCACAATAGGGCAGCCGGAAGGTCACGGACAGGATCAGACATATAGACTTATCCTGACGGACCACCCTAAATAATTTCTAAGGTGATTCGGCCTAGGCCGAATCACCTTAGAAATTATTTAGGGTGGTCCGTCAGGATAAGTCTATATGTCTGATCCTGTCCGTGACCTTCCGGCTGCCCTATTGTGAGTCTGACCGAGCCTACAATGCGCTTGCTAAGAATGTCCTCTCGTGCTTTCAGGGCGAAAAGGGTAAAAAATTACTTCATACTAGTTATTTTGCAAATTCTCCGTTATATACCATTTTATATACAGTTAATATTATCCCGAAACGTATAGAAATAGGTGAAAATCCTGCAACGAAATGGATAGAGAGCATGTAACGCTGCTGTTGCACACAGAAGACTGCTGATTCTGGTAAAATATTGATATATATGTTGCAGTTACTTGATGAACTTGTTTTGTTTTTGAGAGCATCCTTTTGGGTTGGGCAATTGTCTTCTAGACTCAATTTGGATCCAAAGGGTTGCCTATTTGGCAGATATTTTTTCTCGCCTTAATGAATTAAATTTAGACTTTCGAGGTAGTTCTACTACTGTATTGAACACACATAACAAAAATTAAATCTATGATAAAAAAAATTGAATTTCTAGGCGAATTACTCATTGAAAGTAGAATAATTAGTGCTTCTCATCATTGTTCAGCTTGTGTCACTATTGACTCAAATGCAGTGGCGTAGCGAGGGTTGTGCAAGGGATTGTATCATGCACCGGGCGCCACTCGCAGAGGGGCGCACAAATGGTCTCTAAGATAAACTATGTGTTTCTGGAGGGGGAGGGAGGCGCCAATAAAGCGTCGTGCCCAGGGCGCCAGTTATGTTCGCTATGCCACTGCTCAAATGTGAAAGCTGATGTAACACAGTTCTTGGGAATGTTCGACTAGCAACTGCATTTTCCCCACTAATTCCTTGAATTATTCTTTGATCCTCACTGATGGGCACGGAATCAATTTCATTTTGTTCCGGGACTGCCAATTATCCAGCAGGAACAACTGCTTGATATTTCATCACACAGTAATGTCAAAAAGTCATTTTACCGAGAAAGTCTGTTGCAATTTTGGACTGAGTTACTGAAGGAATATCCTGAATTGGCTAAGTTTTCTGTGAAAGTTCTGACGCATTTTGTAACTTCCTACCTTTGCGAGCCAGGCTTTTCTGCATTGGTAGCTTTTATTTAAGATCCAAACAGAGACATATGCTTAAAGTTGAGACTGACATACGATTGAAATTGTCTCGCTCGTCAAATCAAACCTAATATCAAAACATTACGTTCATCACATCAAACACTGAAAGGATACGCGGCCAAAAGATGTTTGTGAGCCATTGCTTTAAAGTTATACTGCACTTTAAGCTGACAAGTAATGCAATGTATATAAACTTTACGTTCTTCACTTCTTTATAAGTTAATTGAAGAGCCGGCATACAAAATAAGTTACTGTATATCCATTTTTGGCTAATTTGAATAAAAGCGAAATTTTTAACAGACGCTTAAGTGCAAGCTTTTCAATTTGTGGACAAAGGAGAATGGGATGTTAGGATTTATGCAATTAATTTTATTTTAATGTTGTTTTGCTCTTAAGTTTTTAACAGTAATAGTTTCGTTTAGATTTAACTTATTTTGCATGGTAAATGAAATATAATTTTTGTTGAGTAACAATAGATTTAACTCATTTTAAAGCAACGACGACTTTTTCATGCCATAATATGGTAAAATCATATTGAAAAGACCCATCAGTGGCCGAGTGAATAAAACCACTGAACAATGGTAGTTGGTCGTGGGTTTATCCCCTCACCAACGGGTTTTCTTCACCTTCGTAAAATTATCACAATGACTTCTTGCTGTCTTATCAATCTCAAAAGTGGAATTTTTGATCCGAAATCTTAAAACTTTGTTTCGCAAAGCCATTTAAAAAGTTACACAAACTGGTTCATTCTCGGAACAGTTACATTCCGAATAATCATCTTCCACGTCATTATGATCGCCACACTTCAAATTGGCATAAATTTCAAAGTTGGATCATCATTCCATTTATCTGTAAATTTCAATTCCAGCAATCTGACGACATCTTCGTTTTTCTTATTTTCTATGATTTTCTATAATCCAGGAAGTGGGGGTGGAAGGCTTGTTGGGTACTAACACGTTGTTACGATAGGGACACCACCTTTCCAGTATGCTGTTGCAATTCTCTTCGTTTCTCACAGTTATCACAATCCTGGCTTTTTGCTGATTTTTTACGACCTGTCTGTAGAAAACAACGCATTTCATTTCTTGAATTCGAGCCGACGAAACATATAGTAATAACAAAATTTTTCTGTTGTAATTTTCTTTTGTAGGCGAAAATTTTATGCCGAAACGCCAATACATTATCATTTTTTTAAAAAACTCTCTCCACCCTGTAGGTTCGACCAGGCCAAAAATGGGAAGCCGGGTGTTGAGGGATAATCTGACTGCCGGACTTATCAGAATGGATAGTCCCCCGAAAATTTCCTGATGTTTTTCGATCCGTCTGAATTCGATCCCGGGTCCCCAAAACGGTAGGTATATTCGACAGAAAGTCTTTAAATCTTCACTTATGATGCAATACGGCCATGACTGTCTCCTGCACATGCTTTGTTTGAATATGGAGCAATGCTATTGGCCACTTGAATTTAGCAATAACAAGAAATGACAATGTGGACAATGCTGTAAGCAATAGGGATATTACTTGTTTTGGCCATACACTGCTTTAGAAAGTGTTACGCGTAGTAAAGAATAACGCCATAGCAAAAACGCAATTTTTTTAAAAAATTGAATATAATTTGTTTTGCGTGCCAGCTCTTCAGGTAAATCGATGATATATTATTTCACTGCGTGCTAGCTTCGTAATACAGTACAGATAAAAAGAAGACCCCAAAATTCGGTCCCATGTAGGATCTCTAAACCTGTAAATCCGCCTCTGGATGCGCTCTTCCGGAATTGCTTTTCATACTTGAAGTTTTGTCGGTAAGTATTTATAGGATGCAAGAAATTTATAAGATGACTCATCGAATGTACTCGTTAGCGGTTTTCTTGACGCGTGGCTATTGCGGTTTTGATGGAATACATTGCTTTATATAGAAGTAAGCACTAACGTCTATTTAACACAGTGGAAAGGGGAGAGGATGTGTAATTTGTCTTTTTTCCCTGTTTTTTTTAACATCGTTCTATTTTCAGTGATGCATTGGCATCTGTATATACTATATAAGCTATACAAATACCGAATTAAACTAAAACTGTATGCAGATATAGTAACAAACGTGATAAAACAGCCAGAAATCAACTGTATAATATTCAATATTGTTATTACATATAATTTCGTTGAAACGTCAATAAACAAAACAGAAAACACACCTAGACAATTTGAAAGAAAGTAATTATCCAAATGAAT